GCCAATGCCAGCTGTAGCTGATCTTGCCTCAAGGTGAGCAACCTTTTAAAACACTGCTGCAGGATGAGATGTTTGGATGCTGCTGCCATTACCAAAGACAGCGGCAGCTGCAAACGGAGAGAACGTTTGCCAGCCCTGATCAAAATTGTTGGCCTGTGTGGTAAGGACTGAGCTTAGTCAGGGCGAAGTAATTCACAATCAGACATACTATAAACTGTATATAAGAAAGTAATAAAGAAGATGTAAATACAAAAGGGTGCAAAAAGTTACCTGAGAAAAAGTAGGTGAATTTTAAAAAAAACAATGGGCTCCTTCTAAAGAGAGTGGGTAGTCTTTGCTTACTCTATTTGACTTTATCTTAATCAGAAGAATAATGGCTAAAAGCACAAGAGTGATTGAGAAAGTGACAGGAAGAATCAGAGTGACATAAAGACAAAGTGACAAAAGAAAGAGAAGACTACCAGGCAACCCAGTTCACCAAGAGTAAATTCCTTCTTCCTTAGCAGCTAAAGCAAAACGTTTCCTGACTCCTGACAATACCCCATTCTTTTACTTTCTGGTTGGCTGGAACTTGAACAATCATCAGTCAAGTTTGGGTAGCTGTGATGTCGGCCAGATGGAGCTCGTCGGCAGTGTTTTCTGCTCTCCAGTGCAAGTTGGCCATGAGAGCAACTGCCCCACAGAAGTGCCTGGTTCTTTCACATCTGTCAAGATAGTTTAGGGAGACCTTGAGCATCCCTGACATTGCAGGCACTGATTAGAATATGCAGTTCTGTGTGTGGGAGGAGATAGGGCTGCCTCTGCTGGGATTCTGTGATAAAAATCATCCTCTCACCCTTTCCAGCCTTTGAGACATGTTTTCTCATTACCTCATTTATGTACTAAATATATAATGTAGTGTCTGGACTATCACTGTCATATTGCTGACAATCTCTCTCTCTGAAAATGAATGAACAAGATTCAAGAACGTACAACAACTTTGCTTCTGGGACAGCTGCACGTTGGCCCAGCAGCCCAAGCTGCCATCATCCAAGCTGAAAACACCTCAGGAAAGCTCTAGGGAAGAGAGCTCATGAGCAATCCAGATAAGCTTCAAATTCCTGATTCATGATCAACTGTCCTTTAAATTTAATATATAGCGGAGTTTCTCTAATAATTGAGCTCTCACAAGCAGTAAGCTCTGAGACATCCAAGTGTCCCAGGCTACAATCCAAGTCAGTTGCTTGGAAGTACCAGCCAAGGACAAAATTCTGAGACAGAGCAACTGCTCATGAGGGAAAAAAATACAAATATTTTTAAGAAAAGTTATCCAAGAGGTAAAATTAGTTTCCAAACTAATGGACCAAGGGAAAAAGACTATTTTAAGGATTTTCTATGAATACTGACTAATAATGATGTTAAAACAACTTCTTTAGGACTCTTCAGTTTATCAGTCAGGCATTGGTTTCTCAGGTTAATGAGTATCTCCTGGTTTACTTTATGAGCAGCTTACAATAGTTCCTGTCCAAGCAAAATATAGTTCCATTGGAAAAATCTGCAAAACAAAAAGCCTTGGGATTTTTCTGTGGACATGTTTCCTTTTGGTTTAACAAAAAACAAACTCATACAAAAAAGAAAATCTTCCAAATGTTTGATCCTATGAGCAAAGTTGCTGTGTGGAACTGTTCATGAACTGGAAATGTGGATAGGCAACAGGAGAACAGCAGTTACAGATGCCTTCAGTTTATCTGCATTATTCTCCCGGAGATTTCAGACACCAAGCCACAGTACAGAGTTGTATCATGTGAAATTTATATACAATACTTCAAATGCAGAACACTAGGAGACACAATCTGACACACCAACACACCTTCTTGAATTTTTAGTTAAATGCACTAATTCATTTTTAAAAAAATGGTAAGACTCAGGGACAATTGTGAAAGATATCTGCTCCACATGCAGTAGTGATGAAAAGAAAAACATATTTAATTTAGTGAGCAAGTACATTACACTTAGTGAGTGTGATGATTAATAATAAAGAAACACTACACTGCTATTTTTCTTTTTCAACACAAATCAGTAGAGGACATGCTTGGAATACTGTGTGTAGTCCAGCCACTTCATCTCAGAAAAATAATCAGCTGTACCAGAAGGAATTTAAGTAAGACCAGTAGAGAATGCTCCTATCATGGATAAAGTATTATGTGAAAGAATACTTAAAAGTCAAAGGTTTTAGCTTTAAAAGCAGGTAATTAACAGAAAATAACAGAAGACATACAAAACTACGGTTTACTGGTGAAATTCAATGGGAAACTTTTGCTGCCTCTATGTATAATACCAAATCAAAAGAAAAAATAATGTAACAGGCTACAAACACAACCTTAATAAGAAGAATATTTCAAAGCAAAGGGGTTTAGTCAGCAAAACCATTAAAACAACTCTTTAGTAAATACACTGGTATTTTTCAGTGAAAAATGACTGTTAACATATTCTCAGTCAGTTCACATCTGCTTTTGGTACACTCAACTTATTTTTGTCAGAGATGTACTCGGTGATATTGCTCTTGAAGAACATACTAGTCAAAAACATAACAGTTTAGTGGAGGAGTCCATCATTTTAATCAATAAGACCCTCACTACTCTCTCTCCAGAGTAAGCAATTGCCACACAGCCCTACAATTCTAGGCAATCACTGTGGGAGCTCACTGCAGCTAATCAGCATTTACAGGTCCAGTTGCATAAAAACACAGACCTTATACAACAGTGTGTTTCAGGAGAAAAATGCTTCTTCCAAAAAAGCTATCATATGCTTTTTTCTCTTGCAGTCTTGAGCCACTGATGTGAAGAGGGAGCCAAATATATGCCCATACTCCACTCTACATGATTAATCAGTAAATATATTATATATCATTTTTAAAGAATTACACTGGGCTCTATTCTAACTTTAGATGGAATATGGTTTATTTTTTCTTCTACATTGACCAGATATATCTATGTTTTGGGGGAGGAAGGACTAATCTCCAACCTGCATTTTTTTTTTCACCTCAGGAAGAAATCAGAAATATAGATTCTCGTTTCCACTAACATTTCAGCATTCAGATGTTTTAAATAAAGTTCAGCACGGCACAAAATTTCATAGTAATAATCTCAGTGACTTATGTTCTTATTCTAGTTGTTTAGTACTGCTAATACACTGTCCCATGTAGCTCCTATGAAGTTACAGACAGACTCGTGTCTCAAATCTGCAATACATATGTCTAAAGTGGAAGGCCTTGACAGACTTGCTGTGTTTGATTTCCACACATTCAATTCCTACTCCTACTAATACCAACAGCAGATGAACGAACAGGTGGCATGCAGGAAGATGCTCTAAGATTTCTAATGCAAATTAGAAGATCAGAATTTCTGTTGAGTGCTTATGATTACAACCTACATTTGTACCTACTTCTCAGTTCACATTCTTTCAAGTTAAATGAAGATTGGTTTCTCATTTAAGTCGCACCACGTAACTATGTTTGCTGCAGTCTGACAAAACCCAAGTTTCACAGTCCAAATCCATCTGCAAATCACTCATATTTAGGCCTCAGTTAAAATTACTCCAATTCAGCAAGCTCTACTGAGACATTGCTTTAAAGTTTTAAATTGAAAACTCCTCCGAACCATCCAACAGCACTGCTCTCACAGAATGATCCTGCATCAACGCTCAGCTCCGGCTGTCTCTTCCCTTCTTCTGATGGCCACTGATAGACTATACTGATTCAGCAAGAGCCCAACAAGGCAGACAGCTAGTCCTGGTTCAGACAGCAGTGGCCTACTGGAAGGACAATAGGAAGCATCAGGAAACACCCAACTCCCCAGTGACACTTAGACACAGGAATTTAATCAAAAAAGGGAAAAAAAAAAACTCCTCCTCCAACCTACTAAGTGATAAAATCACACAGTTCCTCCTGGACTTATTCCCTTCCAGTTACTTCTGCCCCAAAATGATGATGCTTATTGCTACCAACTCAGTGAAGCCAGTCGATCTCCAAAAATCTAGAGGCATCCTCACTGCTTCACAGCTTCCCCTTATCCACATAGGTTCTAGACTTGGTGGTTATCTGAGTCATATGTAAAGCAGATGGATGCAGCCACACACACTCCACCTGTCACTCCTAAATAAATGTATCTTTATAATAATCAAAATCATCAAAGCCTGAAATACGTTTAACCTCAGATGGTAATCAGCAGACAAATGCTGGAGTAGCATAGCTGATAGCATCCTCTAAAACACATTTATATTTCCAAAAAAACTCACAATTTCTTCTCCCCATAGCAATCATCCTACATATATCATACTACTTCAGCAAATCTGTACATTAAAACCCTTAATGATTAGAAAGGAAATAAGTTTGTCCAAGAGATACCTGGAAACATAAAAGTAGTGACAAGACCTATACCTGTCTGTATGCTAGGAACTACATTGCAACTGCAGTTAAATAAGACACACACATTGCCTATTGTGTTGTTATCCCCTCCTAGAATAGTTTATAACCCAAAACATGCAGAACATTCACATGCCCTCTTTTCAGTGTTCAGACAGCATTTCATCCCTTCATTACCACCTGCCCAGAAGGAAAGCAGTCCCTTTCAACCAGCCATTATTCATTATCAAATACAATCTATATGAAAGGTATGTTTATCTTGTAAGAGACATTTTTGCATGCTGTTCTTGGTGTGTTCCTGTCAGCAAATGAGTTGGGGAAAGCATCTGTACTCCAGTGAGCATCAGCAAACTGGTAGTAGCACAAGTGGTCTAAGGTTCCAATTAGGGTCCTGATCTTCAGCTCTCTTCCGTCTTATCAGACTGCCATGACTACACAGCTCAAGAATACCAGATTAGACACAGAAATACAGCGCTGAGGAAAGACCACGAAAGTAAAATTTCCTCCATACTACTAAGTTCTTATTGAAGCATGTGGGACATTACAAGTCCAGGGATTTAACGGAACTAGTGTGTACCTGTCAGCAACTGGAATTTACCTTGAGGTTTGGGTTTGGTAAGTTTCCCACAGGGCTTGGAGATTGTGACAGTCTTCTGGCAGTCAGCATTATGCAGAGCTCTCTTTAGGTTCCCAGTTCGGGTCTTCAAGGCAGTGTTCAAATCACATTCTCCCCAGGCCTGGAACTGGTATTTACACTCCGCTGCAAGAAGGGAATATATGGCCATTTTAAAAACAGAAGGACTGAGCATGAAACAAAAAAAATTCACAAAAATCGCAGAATGGTTAAGGTTGGAAGGGGCCTCTAGAGATCATATAGCCCAACCTCCCTGCTCCAGCAGGGACTCTTAGAGCACATAATTTATCTGAGTCAAATAGAAAATCATGCACTGCCAATGCTTGTAGACAGAAGGATCATGCAAAAAAAGCAAGCAAGCCCAGGACAAATTTAAAGAGCAGTTACAGGGATAAATTTGCTCCGAAAGAAAAATGCTGTAAAATGGAATTTTCTAGATTGGCACACATGTGGTATTATTGTCATACAAAGGAAGACACATGCAACAATGCAATTACAAAACAACTATAAAGAAAAAAAACAACAGTGGGCTATGTTGTTCACATTCTATATGGCTGACACTCCATTTGCTTGATGTCAAAGGCAGCAAACAAGACTTAAATAGTTTCAATATTTCAATATGGAGCAATGAATTTGTCAAGTCTGGAAGTGCTGCACTGATTGCCTTGATAAGGTCACAATCATGTCAAAGTCCTGTAAGCTGTTTACCAGAGAAAAAGCTGAGTTTTCAAGAGTAATCAGCTATGATTCCTGGACAGACATCTTGTCCAGGACAGGTCTGTCATATCTTTCTGAACTGTGTGAAAACACTGGTTTTATTCATTCCTTTCAATGGTCACACTGGTGGCTACCCATGTATCATAAGGTCAAGTAAGGACCATGTTACCCATAGCACACATTCACACTGTAAGAGAAAAAATAATGCTTCTAGTGCTGTCCATCAAAGGAGAACAGAGTACATGAGGTTATAATGAGTCTATTACACAGACTATCTGTTACAGGGGTTGCTTGCTCAGAGGAGGTTGCCTTCTGATAGCCTCACACAATATAGTTGCAATTAATTTGAAGAAGAAAAATATGGCTCCATCACCAAGACACTTGTTAGAGCTGAGCAGAAAATATAGACTTCCTTTTCCAAGCTTAGGTTAAGAAAAACCCAAAAAACTAGACAATAGCTTGGGAGAGTGAAGCTTACCTCCAAACTGCTTCTTCCAGTTGCACGGAATCTTACATTTCTGAGTCTTGGTGGTTTGTTTGCACTCAGCTCCACTGCGAGTACCTTCACGTGTCCCCAGGCCACAGTCACCACTAGTGGGTACACAGACACTCCACTGCCATTCCCCACAGTCAGACTTCTTTGCTTTTTTCTCTGGACGATGCCAAAGAAACAAATGCAAGCAAGAGAAGAGGTCAGTATCCAGAGCTTATTGAAAAGTTTCCATTCATCAGACTTGTTAACCACTCACTACATATGAAAGAATAGATGCAGGAGATACTCTTAAAAGAATTTCTTCAAAAGCAAAAGAACTGGCATATTCCTCACAGGTCTACAGAGGCAGGTCAGCCTCCTACATTTGACCCCAAACCAAGGCGGATTGCTGCAATTCAGTCTCACTGTATATTGGACCACACGGATATTCTGGAGTGAATTTTGATTCTGGAAAGAGGGACTAGTCTCTACATACTCTTGAAGATCAATGATCAAAACACACAGGAAAGCTCACTCGGAAAGGACATTCCTCTGTGCCCTAGCAAATATAAATATAAATACTTCCATATAAATATTTTCAGTGTCAACTGAAGCCCTACATAATATACACATAAGAATTTATGTGCTGACACCACACATCAGAGGATTCAAGCACCTTCAAGGAATAGTATGGATGCAAAGTTTTCATTTATATAGCATGCTAGTCCATATCAGACTATAAACTGAACTTCAAAGGAAAGAACAAACTAGATGGAGCAGGGTATGTGAATGCAAATTTAGTAAGGTTGATGATTATCCTGCATCCGAATGGTCAGAATCTGATCAGAACACGTCTAAATGCTGACAATATAACATCTTTGCTGCTACAGGACAGCAGGGAAGGATCTTCATTTAAATCGTTGTATTTAAGTTGATGAGAAAAATTAGCAATGTTATCAAACCTAACTGTTCAAAAGATCATAGGCACAAGCAGCTTTAAATAACATGTACAGAATGATTTCTTTTTACTTTTTCCATATTTTGGTTCACATTTTCTCATATTTCCATACAACCTCAACATTAGAAACATTCTTTTCTAATGAGAACACTAATTATAAGTCATAGGTCCTAACAGCCAATATGTAAGCAGTCTGTGAATAGCAGGACTTTAAATAAAACACTAAAAGATGTCATCCATAAAAATCATTAAAACTGGCTATGACAGATGTGAATTTTCCACCTCAGGTCTGTCTCACCTATAATGAGGTCTGAGTTCATCACTGACAGGAAGCAATTACCACTGCATGTCTGCTTGTCTATCTGAAGCAGAGACTTAGTTCAATTCACTGCTGAATGATTTCCACATCACACAGAATTGGTAGCATTTTCATACACGGCGCTGAATGAGCAGCATAACTGCTCCTCTGTGGTTCTCTCTTCAAGCGTGAACTCACACCCAGAGCAAATTTAAAGGAAAGCTGACTTGCAATACCTGCTCTGTAATAAATGGGGGAGTTCAGTCTCTGGGGCCATCTAGTTGGCAGTTTTCATGGAAACTCATTTCTATTTTCCCATTTAAGACAAAGTAACATGTTACAGCCACAAATCCCTACCTTGTATGTCAAAAGGTTAATGACTGTCCTGAATTTTGTAACAAGATCAGAAGCCTTTGACATTCGCCCACCCATGCAATCTACCTCAGGGATTAATTTTGGATTACATTGGTCCTTACCTGGTTTCTCTTTTTTGCCAGCCTCAGTGGTGCTCAGAGTGGCCATAAAAAAAATGAGTGCCAGAAGGGCAGCCGTGAACATTCGACGCTGTTGGTGTTGCATTCTGGGGATTAACAAAAGAGAGAAAAATGGATTAGTTAGATTGTCAAGTATCTAAGGTACAGCTTATCCATCATTATAAAGTAGGGAATGCTACACAGTCCATCTTGCGATAGTTCAAGTTTTTGTCAGGCTTATCTGACATCTTAAAAAAGAGCTTCTTTTACATACACGCACATACACACACACATACACACACAATTTATATAAGGAAAATGTATTGCCTTATCCTAATTGTCATTAGCATGTTGCTACCTACTTTTTCCTTCCCATCCAATTAGTGTCTATTCCTATTATCAGTTAAGCTAATTGCCTTAAATGCAAAATGGATACACAGACATGCACACATAGCTAGAGGCTATCCTGAGCATGCTAATGAAGCATATGCAATGAATCCGAAATCTGGATTTGGGAACTCAATATGCAACTATAAAAAGGAATTAAAAGCACTTGCTTGGCTGTGAAGGATCAGTTACTAGCCAGTCATCAAATATCATTCTGACCTGGCAGAATTAAGTAACTTACATAAATATTTCCCCTTCATTTTGCTGTAATTTTCATTGCCTCCCAGAATGCAGGGCTTTAGCAAGTGAACATGTTACAACTGAGCAACCTCCTGTTTCCCAGGAGGCCTCTTAAGTCTACAAGGGTACAAAGATGATGGACCAGAGACTAGCTGGATGGAAGGATTCTCCAGGATCCACACCATTCCTGCTATGTCAGTGCACAGAAGAACGTGTCAAGGGCACTAGCCATTAAGATGCCCTTAAAGACTCAACAAAACTGGTACTACAGAAAGGTCAAAGGTAACTTGAGCTCACTTAGCTAAGCACAGCAAACCTACTGAAGAAATAATCCTCACCATGAGCACTGAACAAAACGTATTTGAAAATACGTCAGTGCCACATTAAACCATCTTGTTCCAAAGCAACATCATTGTAGTGGGACATGGAAAACAAGAGAAAATCCAAAAGGCAGAGATTTTTGAGTGTTCAACTTTAATATCATGCCAGAAGCCAGATGAAAAAATATTTAAGTAGGTTTGTTTAATAAAGATGGTGTGTACACTGCAACAAACCTAGCATTCAAATATCTGAACCGCTGTCATCAGCATCAGTGGTTTGCTTCAAAAGCAAATCCTGTCATTATAAAGGCCACGAGTGTTTTCAAGGCCATTCTGAACTTAACCAGAGCCCAGAGCAGGAGCCTACATGAACCCTGCACAAGCTTTGGGCTTTTTTTTCCTCCATTCTGCTAAGTTTCTATTCATAGTCTCATATTCTTTACAGAAAAAGAAATTATATTAGATAAAATATGCAAGCTACTTCTGCACTTAGCTTACACTGCAAACAGGTTCTCCATAGCTAAATATAGTTACAATACTGTTGGTATATCAACCTTCTCCTCTTGAGCCCTTTTCCTTTGGAGCATCTTTGCCATCTGTAGCAGTGCACCTCATCTCACGCCCCATTTCTGCTATAATTTATCTTCTTACTCCTCTCTTCCAAACTATTACCTGGCACTCCTTGGTTCAAGGAGCACGAACAGCTGCCATAGAAATACACAAAGAAAGAGAGCTGCCCTAATTACTTCCATAATCCAAGATACCGCCCCAGAGTGTGGTCTGGGAGTGCTGGGACCTGACACAAGGCTGTACTGGTGGGTTTCCTGCACAGCAAGTGAGTACATGTAGGAGAAGCACCATGATGGCTTAACGCTCCCTTCTCAATTGCTGCGATCAGCCCCAGGGAACTGCAACGTGGTAAACTGCACCCTGTGCTGTTGGCAGTATCTGGGAGCTCTGCATCATTGCCTCCAGAGAAGGCGCATAATGCAGAGATGAACAAAATCCAGATGCAAATCTGTAAAATTGATGCTATTTTCCCTGAAAGGAAAGCAGGAAAAAATATCTATTTTGAGTCAGAAGTTCTCCAAAAGCCCTATGGACAAACAAGCAAACAAACAAAAAATCATGCAGCCTTGCTACAACATCAAGCCTCTTTCCAGAAGTACTTTTGTTATTAATTGTAAACAAGTGAAAAGACATTGAATACAGGATGCCTTACTTCCTGAAAAGGCATTGAGTTCACAATGCCGCAATGCCTTACTTCTCACCACATAAACATCTAGAATTCAGTATAATAGATGCAACTCCGGAACATTAAATAACTGCTTTGTACATGACAGCTCAGCACGGGCAGGTGCTCCAGCAAATTACAGGCATCACCCTATGCACTGTATTCAGCACCTATCTAAATACCAGTTATTTTTCAGAAAGCTGTGAAATCACACCTTTAATAATAAATTAATTAATAATTTGAGTTCAATCTTCACTTTACCTTGTAAATATTTCAGCTGGCCCTGAAGAGGGTGGATAAGAAGAAAAAAATATCAATGTGGGCTTGTTTTTAAAAACAACAAAGCCCAGTGAAAACAGTCTTTTATTTTTCCCCAAAACTTGAAGGTGACATTTTTTCCCTTCTTTTTCAAATCTGTGATAACATTTCCAGTCAAGCTTTTGCTTTTAATTCCAGTTCACCATTGATTTAAAAGTACTGCCTAAAATTTTAACTTAAAAGAAAAAGTAGGTATTTCATAGCATGCAAAATAAATGCTGCTTTGATGTTTTTGATTTTTGTAACGAGTTTTTTATCATTAACTCAGTCATTAAGAACTAGATCCTGTGTCAAGAAGGAAAAGTATTTTTAAAATGCTGTATGGCAGCAACCGAACATTGCAAGAAACAGGTATTAAAAAATGGCAATGGTATTTACAACCAACAGAAGAGTCTCAAATAAAAAAAGGAAAGACAAGACATTTGGGATGGGAGAAGCTGCAGCACACGAGGAAAAAAAAGTGAAGAAAGTGGGTTTAAGATAATTTAAAAAATCGAGATTGGGCAAAATCAAAAGAAGAGGATAGGTATGAGAAAACTCAGCTGAAATCATGAAAAGAGCACCCAAACTAGAATGAAGACAAGAACAGTTAGTGAGAGTTAAACACTAAAAAAAGACAGTGCTACAAAAACATGAAGTGTGTAATGAGGTGAGGACTGAAGCACAGCTGAAATGTACTGTAGCAAGTGGCAACAAAATTGAGGCGCAGGAATTACTTCAATCTAACAGTTGATTTCACAATCAATCTCTGTTAGCTAGCAAAAATGAAAGGCAAATGAAAGATTGGGAGGCAATCAGAAAATGGATGAGTTCATCAGCCATCCATGCACGACTTCAGTGGCACACTAAGCTCCAGAGAGTCAGACCCAAGTCACATTGTGTCTGCTGTTTAAAGGGCCTTTGGAGCTGAGCTCGACTCTCCCACTCCAAATCCTGCAATACTTCTTGATCCTATTTTACAGTCACTTCTATCCCTCCTGAAACTCTTCATTAAATTCCTCATTCTCTGTGTTGAGGACAATCCCCATAACTAAACGCAACAAGTCTTCAAGGAAATACACATTCCAGGGCCTGCAGCACAGAGCTCCCAAATCCACCAGGGACCAATGTCCTTATGCAGCACTGACACATGCACACACATCTGCTTGGACCCAGAAACATGGCAGATGTTCACAGATGTTCATACAGTGTCACGCCTGATGGAAAGAGCCCCAAAGGTTTATTCCCTCCAACACCAGGCCCTGCAGACATGGCTTGCTTTCTCCAAACTAGCATCACGCAGGCAAACGAAGAGTGCTCACAGTGCATCTCTTACACCTTGGCATCTCAGTTGGTGCAAGCCAGAGTCAATGCTGTGGCTCTGTCTGTGCTCATGCAATAAACACACAACTTCTCCACCTCTTCGAGCTATTTTCTTTATCCATTCCAATCTGAATTATGCCCCTTCTAAATGCAATATGCACAATATGCACCATTCTGGATGAAGTTCCACCTGTGAGCACCAGTGTTTATTTTTGCTAGCCCTACTGAAGCTAGGGTATGCAGCACATCCTAGCATCACATATGCCTTTTGCAGGTGGCTTTTTTTTTTCCCCTGTTAGTAACTATTACTCACAAGCCCTTTTCTCATCTGTTTTTTCCAAAGCAACTGGCAAGGTCCCAACCCATAGGGTTGTTTTCTTAGTCCATATGAGTATCAACTTCCACTCTGAGCTATTAAGTTTGGTCGCAAAATTTAAGTCATCATGCTCAGCTCATGCAGTAACATACGCCTAACAACATCAGCGTTGAAACTCTGTAACACAGAGTTTGCACTGAGTTTGCAAGGTCTCCGGACTGAAGCTTGTCAGATTGTTCTGTCTGAACTTCTCTTGACCTATGTACAGCTTTGTTTCATTTGGTTTAGCTGTAACAGCGAATTTTCCAACTGACCAGGTAGCTATGGCTAACATATTTCACTTTTGTTTATCTCCGAATACCACCCAGGGTTTATGACTCTAACCTAACAACGCAGTACAGAGAACCACAGGCCTGGTATCTTAGCAGAGGCCTTCAGAAGCCGAAACATGAGATGTGGCATAGAGGAGTACAGGCACGGGATGATTCAAGATGAGATATGCACTTGAAAATGGAGATCCCATAGCTATAAACAACTCAGCAATGGATAATTAAAGAAACAGAGACCTGGGGATGGACAAAACTGGTCACAGACGTAGCAAAGAGAACAAAGAGCAAATATCTAAAATACGTTGAAGTGACCATATATAGTAAATGCAGTTTTAGCACTGAGCACCAGATCAGCAAAGGAAGAGCAAGGCAGAGCAGCATATTAGCAAACTAAGGGACTAAGCCAGGAGCATCCATATACCTCATCCATATACCTCAAGGGAAGGAGCGAGGAGGATGGAGCCAGCCTCTTTTCAATGGTGGCCACTGACAGAACTAGAGGAAATGGCCACAACCTGAAGCATCAAAAGTTCCACAGGGACTTAAAGAAAAATTTCTTAACAGCGAGGGTGACAGAGCCCTGGCACAGGCTGCCCAGAGAGGCTGTGGAGTCTCCTTCTCTGGAGATCTTCCAAACCCACCTGGATGCAGCCCTGTGCCA